CTCATGAACTGGATGCAATTAATCTGGACATAAATTCCGATAGTCTGAAAAAAATGCGTAAGTCACAATTTTTAAAAAGTTATAATTTTTATGTAACTTTTTATTAATACATTGTATTTTTTCTTTTTTTTTTTTTTGAGTAATATATTTTTGAATGCTCATAATCTCCTTCAAATATACGATTAAAAGAAATATTAAAAATATTATATATTTTAGATACTCACAATCAGAAATCATTGTCATCTTCATTACGTAATGAAAAGGAAAATGTTAAAAAAAATTCAAAAATTAAACAGTCTAAAGTATCTGACATGAAAAAGCAAAATACTACGTGCAATGATAATACAAACTCATCAGATGATGATTTTAACGACAGTTTTAAGAAATATAAAAAAGAAGTCCATAAATCAAAGAAAGGAAATTTAAAAAGAAAGAAAATTACAATGTCATCGACTGATGTATCTGATTGTAGTTCTAATACTAGATCTGATAGTGAAGCATATAAAAAATTTAAAGCTATGAATGCTGCTGCGCATTCATCAGATGATAATGAGAATTGGGAAAAAAGTAATGATTTAAAACAAATAGATTACAGTAAAAAAAAAATCACGAAATCAAAGATCACTCATGAAGCCGATATTAATGATGAAGATCAAAATGTATTTTCATTCGAAATCAATAATAGAGAAGAAGGTATTTCATTCTATTTGGATTATTTTGAAATTGTTTTAAAATATTTATATATAGGATTATTAAACAAAATTTCATTTTACAGGACATGACAGATTATGTCATATGGCAGAAAAGTATTACAGAAGTCTTAGTAAACAAATAAGTAACATGCAAGGAAAAATAGTAGATCTTTCGCTTGTAATGCAAGAAATACAGCAATTGTTAGAAAAAGAACGAAGCAATAATGACAATATGTCCTTTAGCGACAGTAATGATGATGAAATATTATTGCCACTAACACAATACACGGATTTTGAAGCATTTAATGTACAACTGAGCAATGAAGTTAATTTTCGACAAAAAATTGTAAGTTGTAAACAAACGTTAATTTTCTTAATAATCTAATTATAGAAATATTGCAAAAATATTGAAATATGCTTAATATTTTTTAACATTTAAAAATAATTTATTTATATCACTTGCTTTATATCAAAATAAAAATCTGATATAATATATGCAAAAAATTTTGTTAGATACGCAGATTATCTAACTCATTAAATCGAAAAGCAACTGTAACGAGAAATGTTAGAGAAATTATGCGAATGTATTTCTTGCAAGAATTAGCAACCAAATTTACAACTGTAAAAGCAATATCAGGAAAACATGTGTTTCGTGGTACTGAATTGTACCTTTGTATGCAAGGTATTTACAATACTCGTGAATTATACTAACTTTAACATGGCAACTAAAATTTCTAAATTAATCTATTTATATGTTTTTCAGAAGTATTAACAAAAAATTTTAAAGAACAAGATGGAACACCTTTATCATTTCGTTCATTTCAAGAATCTGTCCAATCAGTATTAAATAACGCTAAAGATTGGAATGGAAAGGGCAATGCTCGAAAAAAAAAATGCAAAAGATTAATTTTATTTTTTATTTTTCTTTGTTTTTATTTTAAATATTTGTCAGATTATATTTCCCAGATTTCGTGTGACGATTGGTTTTTTTATTTTACTTCATTGTCAGTAATATTAATTGGAAGAATCTTAACATTTTTTAATACTTAATATGTTTAATAATAAGGCATGTATTTAATTTTCAAATAATAATATATATTAATTAAAAAATTAATTTTTATTTAATAATTAATGTTGTAATGTTAAAATTTTACCTTAATTAGAATAAACTTGCTTCAATCGTGTTTTTGCGTTTATACAATGTGATACATGTAATTTAAATACGATTTAAAGATACATTATTTAAACAAGTTTATCCTAATATTTCCTGTTAATATTTTACATTGAACTCGATACCTAATATGTAAGGATTTAATATTTTAACCCGATATAAACCTGATGGCGATATCCAGATGAGGACCCGATTACTGTGCTGCGTTACATAAGTGATCAGGTCCCGATATACTTACCTTATCATGACCTGATAATGAAATAAGGTCAACCTGACTAGGATCAGTGGATAAATTTCTACTC